TAGGGCTGTGGGGAAGGAGGGCTGTGCTGAGTCTGCTGCTCCAGGAGTATCTTATGGCTGTGGGCACGACTGCCAGCCACGCTCCCCAGAGAGCCCCGTACCTTGGCCTCGCCATCAGGCAGGAAGAGATAGGCTCCGCTTTTGTCCTTGGAAGTCCGGGTGCCGTAGATGAAGAACTCAGTGCTCACCCGCTGCTCCCGCTCCTCCCCAGCGCAGCGGAGACTCTGCAGGGTGAAGGTGACACAGCAATGAGCTCCCCTCACATGAGGCAGCGCTGAGGCACCCACCCTCTTTCAATCTTTGGACCTGCACCCACCTGCAGCAGGCCTGAGCTGCCCGAGAAGCAGCTACGCAGGTGCTGACTCTCCAGGCAGAAGTCATCAGGGGCGGCCGGGAAGACCTGCACAGGGACAGCCTCCTGCTGGCGCACAGTCACGTCCCGGCCGTGCAGGTACAGACGCACAGAGGACTGCAGCGTGCTGTGGCCATCAAAGGACTTCTGCAGCTGCAGCACACGCAGCCCCAACGCAGGCAGGCGGGCGAGGATGGAGAGCTGCAGGCAGCAGGAGCCCTGAGCCAGCAGCTCCATGGAGGGCACTCGAGTGCTGCTGCCGGCAGGGCAGGGCCCCGTGGCAACAGTGGGCAGCGGGGCAGCCCCTACCTGATAGGTGTCAGGCACTGCATCGGTGGCAGAGCTCCAGTGTGCAGAGAGCTGGGCAGGCAGCGGCTGCCCGTTCTCAGACAGCACACGCACGTGTGGAGAGTTCACCAGCAGAGGCACCAGGCTCAGGCGTTCCTGCTCCAGTGGGTTGAACACCACCAGGAATCTGTGGGGTGGGGTTGCACAGGATGGCCACACTCAGCTCATGGCATTCTGTGTGCCCCATGCTCTGCAGCACCCAGCAGTGCCATATGCCCATAAACCCCAAACACAAGACCCAGCTTCAGGCAGCAAGACGCAGCCCTACCTTGGCGAGGCATCCAGCTTGACAACCGTTTTTTCTGGGAGCGAGTCCTGATTGAGTCGCGTGTCATCCTGAGGAGGGGTGTGAGTCACAGCCAGGGGGTCCCTGTGAGCCCAGCCTGGCTCAGGGATGTGACACTTCCCCAGAGCCCCCAGCCCACATCAGGCAGGCAGTGCAGCTCACCGGACTGAGGAAAAGCGTGGCAGGGTCATAGCGGTACGTGTCCTTGTCCCCCAGCACCAGGTAATGTGCAGCATTGATGATTACACGCTTCAGGTTGGTGAGGGAATGCAGCAGCCTGGGGCACAGTACTGTGCAGAGTGAGCCAGAACCCACGGGCCCCCATTCCCATTCCCATTCCCATTCCCACTCCCACTCCCACTCCCATACCCCTACCCAGCCCCACGTGCACTGGCCCCTGCCCAAGACAGACCCTGGGGCCGTGCCCTGCCACCCACACGCACCGCACTCCATAGTCAACCACCACGGCCTCCTTGGCGGTGCCGGTGATGGCGTCGTGGTGCTGGAAGAGCCCCAGGTTGCGGCGGGCGCTGCTCAGTAGGCTGTAGTCGGACAGCGGATAGCGGCTGTCGGCGCCGGCGCGGCGCGCGTGGGCCAATGCCAGGCTGAACAGGAGCTCTGCCCCCCTGCGCAGAGACAGTGTCATCCCCAGCCCTGCCCTGGTACCGGCCCCCCCCGGCCCCCTCTGACCCCTCACCGGAGGTGTGCCTCCAGCACGCGGTCCAGACTCTTGTAGAAGGGCCGGGAGGTGTAGTAGCCCGTCCAGTAGTGGTCCTCCCGGTCCGCGTAGGAGAAGAAATCCCCGCTCAGCACGGGGAACCCGGGCGGCCTCATCCCCGGCACGATGCCCGCCTTCTTGTACAGCGCATCGAAGTAGTCGGACAGCGTCCCAAACTGCGCCTGCGGGACGGCACACAGCTCTGAGTGTGATGCAGAGCTGCGGGGGCTCCTCCCGCTGCCCACCCCCGCCTGCATTCCCCACCACACTGCTCCCCAGCTCTGCCCCATGGGCTGCCCGGCCCTCCTGCACCTGCCTGCACGTGGAGCTGGGGCTGGGCGTTGAGGAAGTCAAAGATGCGCTGGTAGTTGAGGAACTGGGCGTCCCACTCCTGCGGTTTGTCGTAGCGGAAATCGTCTCCCAGGGGCACCAGCAGCACTTTGCTGCGGTACAGCTTGGACTTCTTGCGGTACTGGTCCAGCAGGAGCTGAGCTCTGCCGTGGGGTCAGGGCATGAGGCCGGCCGCCGGCCGGAGGTGCGGCTCGGTGCTGCTCAGCCCTGCACTCACAGCACTCACCGCTCCGCCACGTTGGCCTCTGTGATGGCGCGGGGCGGCACCTTCCAGGGACAGTTGATGCGGCCGCCTGGTAGGCGCTTAAAGTCAAACTGGCAGCAGATTTTGGGGTCTGGCCCGCAGGTGTGGGGCACATCGTAGCTGTAGAACGGCATCATGTGGCAGAAGATGTCAGTGCTGGAGTCCGGGTCTGCAGGACCAAGGGCAGACAAGCATCAGCAATGGCTCTCCCTCTGCTGCCTCCTAGCAGAGGGCCCAGAACACACAGAGCGTGTGGGGGCACAGCGATGTGGCACACAAGATCTGCCAATGGCTCATTCAGGTGTCACCGTGGGGCCATTCCACAGAGCAAAACCACTGAGTAGCAGAGCCCCTGCTGCCCTGCACTCCACTCCCCAGCCACGTGTGACAGCGGTCAGCAGCTTTTCCCAGCTGCCACCACTCCTGCAGGTCCCCCCACCACGGCCACTTCCCCAGCAGCCCCTCACCCCATGTCTGTCTCCACATGAACTCCAGGTTCTGGCTGGCAGCAAAGTGCTTCTTGATGGCATAGTGCACACGCTGGATGACCATGCCTGTCAGGTTGGAGCGCTTCAACAGGTAGGGCATGGTGGAGCTGTACCCAAAGGGGTCGACAGCCCAGCCCGAGCGCGGTGTCACACCTAGAGAACAGGGACCATCAGCACCCCTCATGGACAGCCCCCCCCCAGCACCCCACTCCTCCTGCCCTGCGTCCTGCTCAGCTCTCACCAATGTTCTTCTCCAGCCACTGGTGCCCCTCAATTAGCTGGTCAATCATGGCAAAGTAGTGGGAATTCGCCTCGTCGGGCATCACCCAGCCACCCGTCACCATCTCCAGCTGCCCATTTCCCACCAGCCTGCAAAGGACACCCGGGGACACGGTCAGCACTGCAGTGAGCCACGGCAGAGCCCTCCTCAGGGCACGGACAGGGAGTGTGGGCCCTACCTCCGCACTGCAGCCCGCTTCTGAGCACTGATGTTATCCCACCATTTGGAGAAGAAGGAGATCTCAGACCAGATGAAGCGTCGGCGTGGGTCCTCCTGCATCTTCAGCACCATGCTGTTGAGGATGTGCTGCGTCTGGTCATAGTAGTACTTGTCAAAGGTCTTGATCCAGCCTGCCAGCACAAGGGGGTGGTCACAGGGGCCTACCGGGCACGGCAGGAGCTGGATGGCTCCTCCCCTCCACCTACTTTCACCCCACTTCTCACCAGGGTCATTGTGGGAGTGCGGCACCACGAACACCTGCAGAGGCTCAGCGTCCCACTCACTGGGCTCGTAGGTGATGTCGAAGCCCTGCTTCCAAACACCGCCGTCCTGGTTGTCGAAGGGCAGCAGGGAGTAAACGGCCAGCATCTGCCGGGGGGAGAGCTCAGGATAGACCGCAGCCCCCAGCAGCGCGCAGCCGCCGGGCTGCCCTCTCCCCGCACGGAGCGCTGCGGAGCCCCCCCCCGGCCCTCACCTGCAGGTCGGGGCTCTCGCCTTTGGCCCCCAGTGCAAACTGGCAGTCCTGCGGGGAGACGGCGAGGAAGCTGGGGCGGCTCTCGGGGGGCAGCGTCCAGGAGCCGTTGTCGCGACGGGGCGGCGCGGGCTGCCCGTCGGCGTGTGCCGTCAGCTCCAGCACCGAGTCCTTGATGTGGCTGATGATCTCGTGGTTCTCCTCCAGCAGCTGCTCCAGCTGCTCGATGCGGTTCTGCAGCACCGAGATCTGGCTCTGGGGACGCGGGCGCCGCGGTCAGCGCGGTGTTCTGCCCCGGAGTTCCCGGCCCGCACGATCCCCGCCCGCCCCGCAGCCGCTCACCCGGGGGAAGTTCCCCCCGCTCTGGTGGCGCGCGGGGTCGTGCTGCACGCGGTCCAGCATCAGGTAGAGGGAGAAGACGGCCACGCAGAAGATGGCAGCCCCACACACCGTCACCTGCTTCTTCAGCTTCATCCCGCAGCGCCGCGGGACGCACCTGGTGCGGGCGGAGGGCGCAGGGGCAGCCCCGGCTCCGGACGCGTCCACCTCGCCGTACCGGCGGCCCCGCCCGCCGGGACCCCCGGTGCCGCCTCCCCCTCCCCCGCCCGTGCCCTTTGCGTCCCGCTCAGTCCGATCCGGGGTATTTATAGCGGCTGACGCCGCGCCGAAGGCAGAACGCGGCCCCCGTTCAGGGCCGGCCCTCAGCCGCGGCGGAGCGGGGAGCGGGGGACCCAGGGGCTGCGCCGGGGGAGCCGGGCGGTCGGGGGGGCCGGGGCCGGGGCCGTGCGGCCCGCAGCAGGGCCGGAGCCGGGAGAGGGGGCGGGCGGAGCGGGAGTCCCGCAGCCCCGGCGCAGGGATGGAACGGAAGGGCGGGGGGCGGCCCGTGGGGGGCCGGGCCGGGCCGGAGCCGTGCGGCGCGGTTCCCCCCCTCCGCCCCGCGCTTACCCTGCGCGGCTCCGCGGCCCGGCCCCGTCCTCACATCGCGCCCGGCCTCCGCCGGCTGCCGCGGCCGCGATGGGCCAAACCCCGCCCGCCGCTCCGCCCGTCCGGGCCCCGGGGCCCGGTTCCGGGGGGCCGGCGGGACGGGAGCTCGGGGGGGAGCGGTGGCGCCGAGCCCGGATCGCGCCGCACCGCCCGGCGGAGCTCACGACAGACGCGGCGCTGCAGAGCCGGCTTTTATTCCGCACCGCGCACCGCGGCCCTCCGCGCCTCCGGCCCCGCCGCCCGGGCGGGCGCAGCCGCTCAGCGGTGCCGTTTGCGGATGGCGATGAGCTCCTGGTAGATGGCGCCGAAGCTCGGCCGCCTGCGGGGGTCGTACTCCCAGCAGCGCTGCATCAGGCGGTACGCGTCCTCGGGGCACTGCTCGGGGGGCTCCAGCCGCACGCCTGTGGGCGGCAGGGATGGACGGGGCGGAAGGACGGCGGCCCCGGTCCCGCGGTCCCGTCGGGAACGGCTCGAGGTCCCCCGGCCGCGCTCCCCGCTCACCCTGCTCGATGGCCTCGCGCGTCTGCTGGTTGGTGAGGTTGGCGTAGGGCACGGCGCCCAGGCTGAAGGCCTCCCACAGCAGGATCCCGAAGCTCCACACGTCGCTCTCCGAGCTGTACCGGCCTGGGGATGTGGTGGGCAGTGGGCGACGATGACGCCGCCGCCCGGTGGGAGCCCAGCTGCCGGCCACCCGCCCCGAGGGAGTGCAGGATGCTGCCACCCAACCTCCAGTGTTCCGCAGCACAGCCTGCCCGCTTCCCTCCCAGGTGCCCCCCCTCCCTGCTCGGTGCCCGGGCTGTGCCCACACCGCATACCGTAATTCAGAGCCTCGGGGGCAGTCCACTTCACGGGGATCTGCTTCATGCCCCCCGTGGAGGCATAGATACCATCCTCCTCCTGCCGTGACATCCCGAAATCGCTGATTTTCAGGGTGTTCTTCTCTGTCACCAGGCAGTTGCGGGCAGCCAGGTCCCTGGGGGGCTCGAGGCCATCAGCTGTGCGCCCATTAATGGGGCCCCAGCTCCTGTGCCTCCAGCCCACCTGTGGATGCAGCGCTTGCTCTCCAGGTACTCCATGCCCGCCGCGGCATTCTCTGTCATCTTGATCAGCTCCCTCACCTTCAGGTGGGGCCCCTCGCTGCGCAGGAAGCTCAGGAAATCCCCTCCTGCAACGCAGAGCGTGGAGCTGTTTGTTGGGCGGCTGCCGCGGTGCACTGCGGTGAGCAGCGTGGTGTGCCGGCACACAGCACACACACATCAGGGCTGCAGAGGCCGCGGGCCTCACCCTGCACCAGCTCCATGACAATGTAGATGGGCTGCTTCTGGGTGCAGACGCCGATGAGCCGGACGATGTTGGGATGGTTGTACTGCTTGAGGATCCTGCGGGGACAACGAACGGCACTGCGAGCGGGCGGGGGCCCATCTGCCCCCAGCACAGCCGCCTGTGCGCTGTCCCAGGGACTCTGCCCAGCCAGCGCTCGGCCACAGCAGCGCTGCATCCCGGCGGGTTTGAGCAGCCCCGAGTACTTGGGGCTCACGGATGGGCCGGGACAGTGGCGGCCGCACAGACCTGGCCTCCTGCAGGAACTTGGCCTTCAGCTCGGGCGGCAGGGTTTCCCGGCAGGATTTCACCGCCACGGGGGTGTTGTCAGCACGCAGGCGGCCGCTGAACACCTCCCCAAAGTTCCCCTGCCGAGGGACACAGAAGTGTCGGCAAGTTGCCAATGGGCTCCCAAGCTGTACCGCTGCCAGGACCAGCACCCAACTCACCCTGCCAATGCGCTCCCCCAGCAGCACGTCCTCATGGTTGAGCACCCACTTGTCCTGTGGGCAGCAGACCCGAGGTCGGCGAGCAGCCCCCAGCTCCAGCAGCATTTCCCTTTGCCCTGCAGCTCCCCCTCGTGCGGAGATGTCGTGCAGGCGGATGGAGGCAGTTGCCGGGGCTGTGCTCTGACGGGGCGCTGCCGCCTCTGCCCACCCTCACCTTGAGCACAGCTCTGGTCAGGACGATGCCACTCTTGCGGGTGATGGGCTGCTGGCTCTGCAGCAGGTGGTCGATGAGCAGCGGGATGGTGGGAAAGCCGTCACCCTCCAGCCTGTACAGGTTCTGCAGGGAGGGAAGGCTGCGGGGTCACCTCTGTGTGCCCATGTGGTGGAACGCGTGCGTGGGGGACTGCACACATGTTGTGTGCCACCACGTGGGGTGCATGCATGAGGTTGCAGACTTTCACATGGCACAAGCGCATGTCCATATGCATGATGCAGGCTCACACTCTATGCTCCAGGTTTGGTCCATCAAGGACACACACAGAGTCAAGCCACACACACACATCCCGTGCTCTGACACCAGGGCGACTCCCTGTGGCTGCACATCCAGGGCACAGCTCCAGCATCTGCCCCTGCCAGGCCTCCCCCGGTGCCACGCTCACTCACATCAGCAGCCTGGATGATGAAGTGCCGGGGCTGCCCGTCCCACAGCACGCTGAGCACGTACTCCTGCTTCCCCTGGCTCTCCCGCACCAGGAAGTCCCCGCTGCAGCTCAGCAGCTCCTGCACCTCCGAGCGCGGGACGGCCCCGTGGTACCAGGCCTGCTGGCACAGTGGCTTCTGCACCTCCGGGATGAGGGGCACGGGAGGTGGCAGCTGGGTGAAGATGAGGTGAGTCCAGCCGTGCCCCGGCTCCTGCAGCGGTGCAGGGGGAAGGGGCGGCAGGACAGAGGGGCTGCTGCAGTGTGGGGAGCGGAGCGGGGCTGGAGAGCAATGGAAGCAGGGCTGCAGGGCAGGACAGGAGGGGCAGTGGGTGCCAAGGGACTGGGAGGCTCATCAGAGCAGGGTCAGAGTGGCTGCAGGTGTCCAGGGCCTCACCGAGAACCTGGAACCGAAGATGCCCGAGATGTGGTTCTTGATGGTCTCCAGCGCAGTCACCCCACTGCGCTCCTGATCCTGGGGGAAAACATGCTCTGTCTCCCAGAGGGACGAGGTGTGGAGCCACTGGAGCCCAGCAGGCCCCAGCCCTGTGGTTCTGGTGGCCGTGGGCGGGACTCACCGTGGAGGACACTGACTGCTGGTCCTCCTGCAGGGGTAAGGCGGGACGGGGCTCCCCTGAGCCCAGCTCTGCCAGCTTGTTGGCCAGCATATCCCGCTGTGCCTGCAGCTTGGCCTGGGCACAGAGGCAGCCCTGCAGCTGCTGCTGGGCCTCCTGCAGCCCCTGCCTCTTGCCCAGCAAGTGCACCCTGGGGATGGGATGTAGCAGGCTCATCTCCTGCCCACCCAGCCCCCAGCCCAGCCCTGCCACCCGCTGCACCTCACCGCTCCCCGGGGCTCAGTGCCAGCTCCTCGCCCCGCAGCTCAGCCTGCAGCTCCAGCAGCCGCTGCTCCTTGCTGCTCACTGCCTCCCTACTGGCCAACAGCTCCTCCTCGATGGATGTCAGGCTGCAGGGACATGGGTGCTGAGCCATGTGCCTGCCACCCCCACTGCCCGTGTCCCAGCCACACTCACGAGTGCTGCACGCTCTCAATGGTCAGCTCATTCAGCTGCAGCTCCCCTGGCTCCAGGCTCTCTGTCTCCTCCAGCAAACTCTCATCAAAGACCACTGCCGGCGGTACCTCAGAGTCATACCTGCAGGACCCGGTGCAGCACTGATGCTTACTCTGCTGCATCCACCCAGTGACGCTGTGCTGCACCTTGCTCACAGCCAAGCCGCCGTACCTGTGGCACTGAACAAAGCTGCTGTACTCAGTGGTGGGGTCGATCATCTCGATGGCGTGGGCAACCTCCTGGTGGATGGCCAGCACGTCTTCCTGCACCAGGCTGCTGATCCTATGGTACTCCCCAAGAATCTCCTTCCTGCAGGGATGCATGTGCTGGGAGCTGCCACCCTCCTGAGCCCCATGGCCCCCCAGTGCCTGGGATGGCTGCTCCTGGGGTGCACACAGCCCCAGCCACGTAGCTCTGACCCCATCTGTGATGGCTTCGGTGCCAGGGAAAGGACGTGCATGGGGCAGGCAATGAGGACAGCGCTTGAGGCTGGAGGGGGAGGGAACATCTCCAGCTCTTGAGGGCAAAAAGGGTGCAGGAAGAGAGGGCTTGCTGGGGTGGAGCAGCGGGGTGCAGGGCTCTTACAGAACAAGGACCATCTCCTGCTGCAGGCTGTAGAGGGACTCGTGCAGGGTGGGCAGCGCACGCTGGTAGTGGTGCTGGTGGTGCAGCGCAGCCGCCTGTACAGCCAGCACATACTGGTTGTGCATGGCATAGAGCTTCCAGAGGCTGCGCACGTACTTTTCCTTCGCCTTTTCCCGCTCCTTGTCTGCAGGGAGATGCCGTGGGAGACACCCTCCCCTCAGCTCTCCCGCTGCATCCCCAGGGCTGTGCCATGGGGCCCCATAGGGCTGCGGGGGGTCTGGATGTCCCCGGCATGCCGGTGGGGCTCAAGGGGAACTGGTGGGGGACACGGCAGGGCACGGCAGGGGGTGTGTGGGAATGGGGCTGGCACACACCTTTGCTGGCCTCCTGGTACTTGCGCCTGGCCTGGGTGCTGTCACGCACAAGGCTGCGGTACTGTGCCTTCAGCTTCTCCATTTCCTGCTGTGTGGTCTGCAGAGGAGGTGCCGTCAGCAGGGCTGGTTCAGGCTGAGGGTCGAGCCCCCCACTGCCCATAGGGCCCTACCCGGGCGTACTCTTGGCTGAGCTGCTGCCACTGCTCACTAAAGGCCTTGCGAAGCTGCTGCTTGTCACGGATCAGCACGCTCAGCTTGGCCAGCGGCCCTGCTGCCAGCTCCTCTGCGTGCCGCCGCAGCGTCTGGCTCAGTGTCTCTGTCTGGCTCGCCAGGATCCACCACGACTGCAGGACAGGGTGTCAGCACAGCGTGGGGATGGCCGTCTGCTTGTGCCGGGTCTGGGGGCGCACTGAATTGTCCCTACCTCCCCGATCCGGCTGCTGTGGTCGGTGGCACGGAGCTGCCCCAGGCCCTCCTGTTTCTCCAGCTGAGAGAACATGTGGTGCAGCATCCCCGCGTACTCCCGGTCGCTCTTGGCACGCTGTGACATCCACTTCTTCATCAGCTCCAGGAGGCGCAGCTCACTGTCCTGCAGCTGCAGCAGCGCACTGTGCCCCTTCGGGCACCACAGCTCTGGCCCAAAGCCCATGGCACTGGTGGGATGGGGCTGCAGAGTTGCAGTTGGGCAGCCTGAGCTGTGTTATGCAGTTCTGAAGCCCACATGGTGCTCAGCTATGGCCAGGGCCCTTTTGCTTCCCATGCCCCCCTCACAGCTGCGCCCCTGGCCAGCCCTGAGGCTGCATTGCCGGGGGCAGACTGTGCCCTGCACAATCTGCCTTGCAAAACACATTCAAAGCATCTAGGAAGGCTGCTTGCACCCAGTGTGGAACGTGGGCTGCCGCAGGGACAGTGCCAGGGAGAAGGAAGCAAGGAAGCATGGGGTCAAAAACCTGCATCACTCTGCCATGTGACCAAGAGCAGTGGCACGGTGCCCCCACCATGCCCCCAACATGCCCCCACGCGGCTCCAGCAGCTCTGACCCCATCCTGCCCCAACACGGGGTCACCCCTGTGCCTATGTCAGGGACAGCCAGGCAGTGAGGGGAACGGGGCGCCGAGCCCTGGGGGAAAATGCCAAGGCTGGAGGTGTCCCTGCGCATGGCCCTGGGGTGCCCAGCCGTGCAGCAGTGGAGCAGCCAGCAGCGGGAGGGTGCTGCAGCCCAGCTCCACGCAGTACAAGATGTCCCAGCACAGACCACAACCCAATGGAGGAACGGGGCAGTAACCCCCCCAGCCCTACAGAAGGGTCCCCCATCCCGTCAGCGTGTTGCTGGGCACGGTGCCTCCAACCTGCGTGTGCCGCCAGGTCCCCGCTGCAGCGCTGATGATGGTGTGTTCCTGAGGCTGGGGCCGGTGCAACTGACCTGACGCAGCTCCGGCACCCGGAGAGGAACAGGAAACCCTGCACTGACCATACAGCCATTGCGAGATTTCCTGCGCTTCCTCCCCTCCCTGCCAGTCTGCCATATTCGGGGCCAACTGTGTCACGCAGCCTCTCTGCGGCTGTCAGCCCCCAGCCCTGCTGCCGCTGCTAACGATTGTGCACCAAGGCCTTTCTCTGCAGGATTTGGCCCTGCAGGAACCCAGGGATCTTTTTTGGCTGGGCCAGGCTGCCATGCATTGCCCTTGTGGACCCCATCCTCAGCCGAGGCCCCTCAGGGGTTTGACCCAGCAAAGCCTTTTCAGCCATCCCTGTGCCTGCAGCCGCTCTCCCTGTCCCCGCTTCAGGGGCGGGTGAGGCACCCAGGGCTCTGTGCAGCACTATGGAAGGGGACCATTCTAACGCCACCCCTCGAGCATGGCCCTCAGAAACAGCAGCTCATGCACAGGCACTCAAGGAGCAGTGCCTCAGCACACTGTGATGCTCCCAGGGTGCCTGCAGCCGTGGGCAGACCGCAAGGCTTCACCCCTCAGCACTGCTGCATGTGCCCCAGCTGCAGCCTAGCCCAGCAGCCTCTTTGGAAGCCCCTCCTCTGCCAAGCGGTGCCTTCTGGCCCTAAGGTGATACTGTGGTCACCTGCAAGATACGAGTAAGTTGTTTCTACTTCTTAAGGAAGTTCCTGACTTGCCTTCTCATAGTTGAGCAATGCCTCGGTGGTCACAACCAAGGAAGACAACAGTGTCACAACGCATCAAGTGCAGCATTGGGCAGCACAGCACGGCACAGCACAGCATGGCACACCGTGCTGCTGGAGCTCCTGGGCACCGTTGGTTCTGGTCACCCTGGAAACAGCCTTTCTCACGGCACATTTCAGGGTCAGAGCAGAAGCACTGCAGCTGCTCTGTGCAGTGGCACATGCTGACCTGCCTCCAGCCACCGCTGCCTGACCCCAAAGCCCATCCAGGAATGGTTTTATTTTCTGAGCTGCTGGTCATATAGCAGCATCCGTGTGCACAACTTGCTCCTTGGACATCTGCAGCATCTGCTCACATTCAGCGAGCGCTGTGCCAACTCACAACTTATCCCAGCCCAGTGTTGCCTGGCTTCTCCTACGCAGAGCAGGCTGTCCCTGCTGGCACTGGGCACTGAGCTGCACAGGGCTGGGATCTGACTGTGCCATGTCTGTGAGGATGGCTGAGCTGCAGGGCCCTATCCGTGACCATGATTGCACACAGCCCTGCTCTCCAGCAGCCCTGACCGCTGCCTGCAGCAGGAAGGTCACTGCGGGCTGCGTTGCAGCTCACCCAGTTTCACATCCTTCATCCCTTCTTTCACAGCAGAGCTCGGTGCTGCTCTGCTGCACGGGGCTGCACAGGCACTGCACAGCCAGTGGCCAAATCCCACCTGCAGTGCCCGTTTGCTCCTGCCTGGAGCCACCATCTCAGCCCTGTGCAGCCTTCACTGATGGCAGCAGGTGCGTGGCTGCAGCACAGCTCCAGGCAGGAGAGAGAGGAGAGAGCCATGGCAGCAGCTCCCGCAGCCACGTGCACACAACAGAGAACTGCTCGTGACCACAGGAAGATGCTGTGGCCAGGAGCATGAAGGGCTCTGCAGAGAGGAGCTGCCTCCATGCAAGCATGTGAGGGATGCAGCTCAGGGCTTGCCCTGGGGCCAGGGGCACAGTGAGGTTGGGTCTGGCTCTGCCTGCAGCACGCAGCGCATCCATAGTGGGAGCAGGGCTGGGGACACCTGGCTACTCACCCCAGGCTGCCCATGGGCAACGTGCTGCAGCTGACGGGGCTGCACTGGGCACGTTGCTGCAGCGTGAGCTCTGCACCCTGCTGCCCCACCTCGCTGCAGCCAAAATTAGCTCCCCTCACCACGGGTTTACGATTGGAAGCTGCTTCCCGTCACTCAGGTGAGTGGGATGACTGCCACCTGGGTGCCAGCACACCTTCAGCCCCCAGCCCCCAGCTCTGGGGGGGAGGAAGGGGAGTGGGGTTGGTCTCAGCCCTGCCCAGGGCCCCCCACAACCTCGGGGCAGCAGGACACATAGCACAGGCAGCGGAGCTGGTTTGCATAGTTCTGAACATTTAATAACTCAGTCTCTCTAGCGTTATATCCACATCCATTAAATTAAAAATGGGCTCAGGAGGCAGCTCCCGGCTGATTAAATTACAAGAAAAAATTACTGTGCACCAAAAAGTTATTATAGAAAAATAGTCCTGTGCCCCCCCGCCAGCAGCTCCGTCCATGGGCCAGGGTGGGCATAGGGCAGGCAGGAGCCCGTGCCACGGCCCCGGTGTGCAGCGGTGGTGGACGGCCAAGGGGCGGGCGGCACCGACCCCCACCGTGCAGGGAGTGTGCTGAGGGCGGGGGGGTGCCTGGGGTTCCGGGGGGGAACAGAACGGATTGTCACCAAGTGGGGGAAAGGCACATCGGGGCCGGGGCGGTGGGGCAGGGGCTGCCAGCACAGTAGGCTCTGCCCGGCCCTCTCAGGGTGCGTCAGAGCCGGGAACGGGGGGCACCAACGCTGCCCAACAGACCCAGCAGCACCGCAGCCCTGCCCAGGGCAGAACAGGGGCTGCTGCTGAGCGGGGGGCCCTCTCTGCACTGAGGGCACAGCCTTGGGGAAGGCGTTGCCATGCCCACGCCCTCCATCACTGGGCTCCGATCCGCGCTGCAGGTGGCTGTGGTGGGACAGGCAGCAGCGGGCAAGGAGGTAGGGGGCTGAGGCCTGGCCATTATTGCTGTTGAAGGGCACGGGTGGAGGCAGACAGGCCCTGGGGAGGTGGCGGGGAGCCTCAGGTAGCCCAGTCGGGGCAACACCAACGAGGGCGCCCAGCTCCCATCCCTGCAGCCTCGTGTGGCCCCCAGCAACCGCCGGCCCAGGGTAAGGAACGTGGCTGCCGGCACAGAGGCGGCATCAGGGTCTGGCCACACACCAGCACAGGGCACGGCCCGGACACGAGGCTGTGAGAGATGGTCTGGGACGGGGACGGCGCAGGGCTGAGGACGGTTCCAGCGGTGAGGAGCCCAGAATGCCGCGGAGGGGGACGGGGGCAGAGTCCAGGCCCCTCGGCCTCACCTGCCCCGGCCCCGAGGTGCCGGGAGGAGAAGGGAGGGGCGGAGGGCTCATCAAAGGGCACTTTGGTCTCTGATGAAGGCAGTCCTCTCGTTGTGCACTTCGCACTCCTCAATGTCCGACTCGGAAGGGCCCTCCTCCTGCCAGATGTCAGAGGGCAGCCCCTTGTAGGAGATGATGCCGCTGTCCAGGGCGTAGACCTTCACGCCCCGCAGGCTGAACCCGGAGCGCACTTGCAGCACCAGGAAGACGGTGATGAAGATGACAACGATGAGAACGCAGCTGAGGCTGGCAATGAGGACGAGCGGGTTGGCTGGAGGGGGGGCCTCAGGCTGCCCCTCACCCTCTGCCAGGGCAGGGGATGCACGGCTGCTCTGCGTCTGGTGGGAGCAGGAGAGGTCCAAGCTGCTGAAGTGGGAGTGCGCGGGGCAGGTCAGGCACTGGTTGGGGCCGGGCCCTGTGCAGGTGGCGCAGGAGGGGTGGCAGGGCAGGCAGAGCTGGGGTGTGATGGGCTCCATGCTGTTCTCCAGGTTGTAGTGTGTGCTCTGCACGCCAGGGGCGAAGCCGGGGGGGCAGCGCTTCAGGCAGCTCTTCTGGTGCAGGTAGTATCCCTCTTCACAGACTGAAGAAGAGAAGGGTCAGCACCGAGGGGGTCATCCGCACACCCATACCCACACGGGACCCTGCACTCACCCACGCAGGTCTGGCTGGGGGTCAGGGTCTTGCAACCACTGCTCTCCAGTTGGTTGGAGAGTCCAGGGGGGTCGGTGGCCGTCCCGTACAGCACCAGCGTGAACTTGGTCAGCGTGCCTGGAACAACACGGGGTGAGCACCAGCAGCGCACCCATCGACCTCATACAGGGAGGGTGGGCACCAACACCACCAGGGCAGCACAAGGGCCACGGGGACACCTCCATGAACAAGCACAAATGCAGTCGCGGGGGACAGGCCACCTCAGAGCCCCAACAACCAAAGCAGCTCTGTCTCCTCCCCAGCCCAGTCACCGAACAGCACCAGGTGCCAGCAGGATGCAGGCACTGCTCCCATTGCCGAGCCCTACCGTAGTTGTTGGCATCACTAGTGTTCTCAATCTCCAGCAGCCACTCCCCAGAGGGATCCTCGTCCCACGAGTGCGTCGTCATGAAGGCCCAGTCATTGAAGCCATCGGCCGAGTAGTCATGGGGCCTGGGGAGAGAGGAGATGGTGTGGGTCATACAGCTGGGCACCCGCTGCCAGCTGCCATCCCACTGCCCAGGCACCGACCTGGCGGCCAGGAGGGTAGAGCGGGTGCCCATGGGGCTGACGAGGTGGATGGCCAGGTCCCCCCGCCGGTTGTAGGACAGCGTCAGCCGGGCCTGTGCGTGCTCCAGCCGGCTGATGTAGTTGGCCTTCCCTAAGCAGGCGTCAACCTTCCGCCGCACCTCCAGGCGCTTCCCGATGTCCCTGCCGAGGAACAGCGTGAACCCAGTGCCCCCAGTGAGGCAGCGCCAGTGTGCAGGGCTTCGTGTGCCCCCAGGAGCTCCCAGCTGCTCTCCAGCTCCACGCCAAGTGGTGGAGCTGCAGATAATCCCGGGGCAGCTGACAGCCTCTCTCCACCGCCAGGATGGGGCAGGAAGCAGCAACTGAGCAGCACATCCCAACTCCCAGGAAACCAGGGGCAAGGAGGGTTCTGCTCTGCTGAGCACGCGTTAAATCGCACTCTGTGCCAGCTGTGAATGGGGCCTTTCTTCAGCAGCCAGGGGCCAGCTCCACCCCCGTGCAGCGCGGCCAGGGATGGACAGGCACGGCCCGCCATGGCCCGCAGCTTGCCAGCCCTGCTGCTGGCACAGGACGCGGCCACACGGAGCGGGGATGGGCAGGGAAGGGGCTGGCGCCTGCCCACAGGGCCCAGGCCCAGGGGAGCAGGGCAGGG